TAAGTTTCGAATTATAAAAAACAACAACTGTCTGCATGGCTATAGAAGTATTGAATATAAGAACGATTACTTCGTATTATAGGATAACATAAAGATCTAATAACACTATATTGATCTTTTGATAATGAATTATAACCATCTTATATATATATATATGTATAGAGAGAGAGAGAGAGAGGGATAGAATTTAGATGAATCTAAACAAGGCCTCATACGATATCTAATCGATTCGTGTTCATGTTACAGTACCATGGAATTTAAAGTTGGTACTAATTACAGATAAATCAAATTCACGAGGTTTATATTTTCTCTTTGTCCAATTTCGTGGACAAAATTGATACACTTTAAGCCTTTGTCATGTTCTACCATATGAATCATGATATGTCCCTAACGTCCACCTAAGCATGTTTTTTTTTTCCCTTCTAAATTTTATTTTATTTTTTTACTGGTTTACCTTTTCTGAAATATACTACGAGATTAAAGAGTGAAAAGAGACAATAAATGTACGTATATTATAAAATTGACCTATCCAGTAATTGTCGGGATTTTAAAAAAAAAATTGACAAGCGAAGGGAATAAACCAATATTTGCCAAAAAATAATAAATGAACTGATAGCTTCTTCGCATCTTCACGAGCTGCAGGAATCATTTCGATTTAAATAATACTCCCTCCGTTTAAGTTTGTAAGACGTTTTAGCATTAGACACACATATTAAGGAAAAAAATATTTTGTCTAAAATACCCTTATTAATTAGTCTTATTAATGATAGAATATACTCCCTCCGTTTAAATTTATAAGTCGTTTAAGAGTATTTTTTTTGTTTTAAAATAAATGACATTTTCCTACTTCCAATGTACTTTTCAATATTTCTTCCAAATTTGCCCATTATTAATAGTAGTCAAATACGAATTCTACATGTATAATAATTTTACACAATTTTCTATTTTAATACTCTAATAATTGTTCATCAATTAAATATGTTTAATTTTTTTAATCTTATTTAAATCTGTATGGATTACACTAAAAAACTAAACTTCAAATAATTTTATAATTCATCAAATTCATCGCTCTTCAAAATTTGTAAAATTTGTAGAAGAAATATTTTCTCTTTCTTCATGAACGCCATCAAAATTTTCAGAATTTATTGGAATTTTGTTTAAATCAAATAAAAACTCTCTCTCTCCGCTTACAAGTGAAAAATTTAAATCAATATTATAAGAAGACATGAAAAAAGTTTGTTTGTTTCTGAGTGTTATAATCCAATATATAGACATTTGATATTTGTGGTTTTGTTGTTTTGGTCTAAATTTAAATTTTTACAGAAAAAATTTGAAAACACCAAATAATGTTCATTTTTCAAGTTTACAAATTAAATTGTTGATTTATTGGGAAAGATAATGATAATATATTCTATCATTAATAAGACTAATTAATAAGGGTATTTTAGACAAAATATTTTTTTCCTTAATATGTGTGTCTAATGCTAAAACGTCTTACAAACTTAAACGGAGGGAGTATTATCATTATCTTTCCCAATAAATCAACAATTTAATTTGTAAACTTGAAAAATGAACATTATTTGGTGTTTTCAAATTTTTTCTGTAAAAATTTAAATTTAGACCAAAACAACAAAACCACAAATATCAAATGTCTATATATTGGATTATAACACTCAGAAACAAACAAACTTTTTTCATGTCTTCTTATAATATTGATTTAAATTTTTCACTTGTAAGCGGAGAGAGAGAGTTTTTATTTGATTTAAACAAAATTCCAATAAATTCTGAAAATTTTGATGGCGTTCATGAAGAAAGAGAAAATATTTCTTCTACAAATTTTACAAATTTTGAAGAGCGATGAATTTGATGAATTATAAAATTATTTGAAGTTTAGTTTTTTAGTGTAATCCATACAGATTTAAATAAGATTAAAAAAATTAAACATATTTAATTGATGAACAATTATTAGAGTATTAAAATAGAAAATTGTGTAAAATTATTATACATGTAGAATTCGTATTTGACTACTATTAATAATGGGCAAATTTGGAAGAAATATTGAAAAGTACATTGGAAGTAGGAAAATGTCATTTATTTTAAAACAAAAAAAATACTCTTAAACGACTTATAAATTTAAACGGAGGGAGTA